GTTCAGATTATCTGCTCACCTGATACACCCGCCGCGCTCTTCACCGCCACCAAGCAGGAGCAGATAAAGTTTCCTCAAGGATTTTTAATAATAGAGGTACTCAAATCATTCAAGGAATCACTACAGCCTTACTACTAGATTGTCAGGAGTGAAAAAACTTAAGTATAATAACTTCATGTACAAGCAAATGCTTAGATGAGGCACCATCACAAAGGATTTTGCTAATAATTTTCCTGTCAAAAGTATAAACCCACAACAATATGAAACAAAAACACAGAAATACATAATTACTGATTTTCCTACACATATACAAAACAAAAATTGAAACCAAAGAAAAACAGAAGTTAAACAACTGTGCTGAAACCCTGACAACTAATAATTGAACAATAAACTGAGATAATCTGGCTTTTTAAGTTTACAGAACTTTGCTGATTCCCAAACATAAACTCCAGCCAGTATCGGTTCAGTGAATCTGGTCTGGACTCTGTGGAGGAGAGTCATGGTTTCAGAGACGCTGTAGAAGGACAGAATACCTGCTGTGTGATCCAGGTACACTCCGACTCTGGAGGAAACTGGACCTGAGATGGAGGTCCAGATGCTGTTGTGACTAAACCCATAACTGTTTTGAGAACAATATAATGCCCAAGATTTATCATTATATCCAAAAACACATTCATTCCCATTTCCTTCTCTGCTGATACTCTTGTATGCGACTGATACATAAACCTTCCCTCTCCACTCCACCTCCCAGTAACAACGTCCAGTCAGACTCTCTCTACTCAGAACCTGATAATAACCAGTGAATCTGTCTGGATGACTAGAATAAAACTGATCCTGATCCATCCATGTCACCTTCCTGTTCCCCTCTGATAGTCCCAGCTCTGTGTTTGCTGTGTTTGGATCCAGAGTGATTTTACATGAATATCTTAAGAATCCAGCTCTGCTCTTTGGTTCTGGTTCTGGTTCTGACATTAGAACATCCACCTCAGTGACCTTCAGTGAGATGTTTGTCCATGAGTCTCTCAGGACGTCCTGTAGTTTGTCTCTGAGCTCTGACACAGCTGCTGTCACGTCCTCAAAGTGTC